AGCTCGGGGCTCCCCGGCACAAGGGCGAGTCCAGGGGGCAGCCACGAAGGTGACTCAGGGACGGGAGCATCGATTGTGGGTGTGGGGAAGACTCAGGGGGCTGGGCCTGTGCAGCCTGGAGAAGAGGGAGAGGGGGAATCTGATCAATACATACAAATATCTGAGTGGAGGATGTGAAGAACATGGGGGGGCTAAACTCTTCTCCGTGGTGGCCATAGATAGGACAAGGGGTAATGTGTACAAGCTGAAACATAGCAAGATCCTTCTCCTTGTGAGGAATAACTTTCCTGTGAGCATGACAGAGCCCAGGAACAGGCTACCCTGGGAAGTTTTAGAGTCTCCTTCTCTGGAGATCTTCAAAATGCACCTAGATCCCACCCTGGGCCACATGCTCTAGCTGTCCATGCTGGAGCAGGGGGCTTGGATTAGACGATCTCTAGAGGCCCCTTCACCCCTCAACATGTGTGAGGTATGTACAGAGGTCCCTTATCTCAGGACTAATTATTATCTTTTATGGACAGTAAATGAGCAAACAACCTTAAACACCTCTATGTCTGGATTTGTCTGTTCCTTGCTATCTCTGTACAATCAAGTGATGTCTGTGAAAAGCTGACTATGTTGCAGTGCACAGATGGCACTTGAGGGTGACATGTCACCTTTTCCCTCCAGAACCTGAAGACCCCAGATGAGGTTGAAACACCCAAGATGAAGAAGAAAAAGAAGTCAAAGAAACCAAAAAGAGCACTACAATACACCCCAGACACACAGAGGCAGCATAAGGTAGGCCTAAGAGAAGAGAGAGAGATCAAGTATGGTGCCATTTTCTAACAAATCTCAGTGAAGGCCATGAATAAAATACAAGGAAACTTTTATTTCTTTCCCCACTTTTATCAAGATTTTCCTGTTTTTTTGTTTTGTCTTCAAGCTGCTTATTAGTGGACAAGTCCGGTCAGTTTTTGTATTAAAAAGGATCTTGATGGAGGTAGCTTTGTCTCTGTCCTGGCTTTTGCTTGGTCTCACCTGTGCACTCATCTTGGTAAACAAACTCAAAATAAAATTAAAAACAAAAATGGGAATTCCAGGCTGAGGCAGCGAGCAATGCAGCCAGGTTCTCTGTGTAACAGACATGGCGCTGTGGCCTCCAGTCACTATATACAGAGTCCATCATACATCCCCCTCTCTCCTAAGCACACTCCTTGCTCCAGCGGCTGGCTGCAGAGGAGGGAGATTCTTCTCCCGGAGACCTGTACAGCAGCTTCCGTGGAGGGAAGCAGCACCCAGTCAGGAATGTCAGGCAGGGGTAGAGTGTCAAGGGGAGGGTCGCTTCAGCTCGGCCAACAGGTCCACAGCTCTGGCCCCAGACTCACTGCTGCTGGGCCACCTGCAGGGCGAGAGGAGGGCGGCTGAGACCCGGCAGCGGCCCGGAAACAGGAGCTGCTATGGGGCGAGCGTGCAGTGGGCTGGCCCCTCCACCACACAGGGCACCTACTTGCTGGGGCGGCGGCGGCGGCGGGGGCTCGCTGCTGCGGTTGGCCAGCCTGCTGAGAATGTTTCGCTCTGACATCTGGAGGCGCACGGCCACGGGCGGGATGCGTGCTATGGTGGCAGGCAGACGAGTCACATCTGCCTTCATATCACTCAAGAGCTCCTCCAGCTGCTTCAGAACTGGAAGAGAAAGGGGGGTGGGTTCAGAAGAAACCCCTGCCTGGGTAAAAGGCCAAATGGGGCAGAGATGCTAAACAAATATGCACCCTTGCTCAACACATTGTATCACCTTTGTGCAGCACAGCATTGGCAGGTTTGTTCCCAGCCATGGACTCCTTGGAGAGGTGCTGGTGGCTCTCAGCCAGGCACTCCACCTCTGCAAAGCGCGTGTTCAGCGCCATGGAAGGGTGAGACGGGTCCTCGGACATGTTCAGGTAGGCAGCTCGCCGCAGCTGCTCCTCGATGACCAGCGCTTGCTCTAGGAGCTGCAATAGACAGGGCAGGTAAGCAAGTCTTCCAGAAATGGCCTTGTTCCTCCCACCTGTCTCCTCTTGTTCCACTTTACCACCCACCTGACATGAAATTCTGCAGGTAAAAACCTCATTTCACAGGGTAGTGCTTATACTGAAATAAAGAGTATATACTAAAAAAAATTAAAGAAACAATTAAAGTCTTCAGTAAGCTAAGCCAGGCAAATAAGAAAAGCAGGACATATCCCAGCCAGTTTAGTAAGTCTTGTCCTGTAGGATGCTCCTCTACTAGCGTGGCTCAGATTCCTGAAGGCTTTAAAACCATCCCCTCCTTCCCAACTCTAAAGGAAGATCTTTCAGTCCTTCTGTAGAGAGCAACAGGAATAGAGCTTTTCTTTTGAGCTTCACTGAGAAATATCCTGAACTGCTAATAGGAAGGAGTCTAAAAAAACACCACTATTAGGCACATCAGAATAGGACACTTGAAGAAATCAAATCAGACAGTGCAGGGCAGATAAGCCAAGTTGCACTGAATCTCACAGCAAAATAGTCCTAAGAATTGCATGAATTGGTTTTAAAATCACTTTCAGAATGAAACTCTGGTCACTCATAAGTACTTCAGGCAGGAGACCGAAGACAGACCCTTTACCAGTCCAGTGTTATACAATGTTTTCAAGTTCTATTAAGGCATACTGAAGTGTCTGTAAGCACACCAAGCAGAAACTGTGCTGGAAACAGTCACTAACACCTCCTGAATGCCAGTTTTTAAGGAAACACATGGAGAGAATGCTGAACCAAGCTTCCCAATACACTGCTTTCAGAGAAAAGAGCTCCTATCATGAAGCTACTACATAATTCTAACAAAATGCTGCACTTTCTAGCCACCAATAGGAAAAACATTGCAAAAGCCTTCACCTTAACAGAAAAACCAGAGTATCAAGTTCAGATTAGATTCAGAATAGATTAACTGAAAAAGACACTTACCACTCTGAAGAGGAAACCTTACCTTAAACCTTCTTGCCAAGAACTTATTCTTAATTTCCAGGAAGTTGCCTCTGTTCATCTCACCCTTGAAAGGTTCATTGAGGATGGCGTAACGAGGATCATTCTGAATATCTTGCCAACGGGCATAGCCATGACTGAGATGGGATGAGCTCAGGCAAACAAAGGCATTGAGAACAAGGGAATACACAGCCCAGGCAGACACATTTCAATAGGGAGGAGGGCAAGGAGATGTAGAGAGAGGAAAAAAGGGCTAGGGATAGGCAAGAATAATGCCCTGCTCACCAAGTCTTAACTATGGTGACACGAACCCCTCCTCCCAGCAAGGCAGCATTCTTGTGAAACAAGTTAAAGCATCCTCTCACTGAATGCAACCATGGCAGACCCAAAGGGATTTATACCAAAAAAAGGGGAGACTGCTCATCCATCAGGGTAAGGATACTTGATAATTCCAGCAAGGAGCCAGTAATCATGACGCCGATGCCAGATTTCATAGGTCTTCTTTGTAACAGTTGCAGCCCGCTCCTCATTCTGCCACAGAGAGTGTAGTTCTGGAAAAACAAGAGACAAGAATAGCTCCAGGTTTCATCAAGACAAGCAGAGACAGGTAAATTACCTAAGTTCAAGCATAGGCAGGTCTCTCACCAGTAAAGCCACCATCAGCTATGTTGAACATGAAGCGCTGCTTTACTGCCTTCTTGTGCCTTTCATCTACTGACTCTTTCAGCATCTCTCCATTCTGCAGCATCACCACATCTCTCTTATCGTCCTCCTTTTTCTCTTCTGTACATACAATTAGGAAACAATTAAGAAAAACACAGCACATTCCATAGCACGTTGGACCTACAAAGAGCCTTTGCTGGAGAAGGGTTAAGGAGGGAATGGAATTGTCATAGCTCACCCTTCTCATCCAGAGTGATTATAGGAGGTTCTGAGGGTGCCTCAATAGATGCTCTGTCTTCTACTTTCTCCACATCAGCTGCAGAAGTGGAATATGAGATGTAGCTGGTACGTCCAAGAATTCAGTGTGTGCAACCTAACACCGCTCTCTGCCTCCCTGTTCAAAGCCCTGAAATGCCCCCCTTCGTTATCCTGTACACATGCCCCTTTCCTTAAGGTGAAGCACTGAGTACAGAGGCAGGGAAGACATAGCTTGAGGAAGTTCTTTTTTTTTTTTTTTTTTTAAATTGCTCTTAAGGGTCTTAGCCTTCCTAGAGATACCTTTGCTCTCCACTTCCATTGGCTCGTCTGGTCTTTCTTTCACCTCTGGTTCCTCTACCTTTTTTTCATCTGCCTCTGCAGGATTCACTGGAGATTTTGCTTCCTGTGGTGGTGTCTCCACAGGCTGAGCACACTGCTTAGGACAGAAATCATCAATGAGAAGAGAAGCAAAGCAGCATATGGTCAAAATCAATGACCTACTTCAGCACTTTGAGAAAACAGTAAAAGCAGTTTGGAAAATGTCCTATAAAGCAGATAGAGGGGAAGATGCATAGAACTGTCAGGCCAGCTCTTCTAAAGACCCTGAGAGTTTGCTTTTAGCATTTTCTCAGGCAGAACTTGCCCCAGAGGCTGAGGGACACAGCAGAGTGGGGCAGAATTAGAGATATTTGAAACTGCATGAAGCAAACAGCTGAGCACTCACCTCCATAGGAACCTCCGAGTCAGTCGCAGAGGCACTGAGCTCTTTCTCTGGTTCAGATGACTCTCCTTGTTCCTTAGTGCTGGCTCCTTCTTCTACCTTTATTCCCTCTTCTGTGTATTTCCACCCCAGAGCAGTGCAGTAGACAAGAGAAGGAGAAAAGCCATCAGTAGGGTCTTCCCCTCACTGTGACCAAGCACACACCTCCTTGCTCCCAGAGATTAGGCCCATACAAATGGCACCTATGTCACACACAAGACAAAGCCCCTTCCCTGCCCACCACAAATACAGGGCTTCTCCCTGAAGTCAGCTCGTTCAAAGGAAGCCAGTGTCCTCTCTTGCCTTTAAGGGCATGCACATGTCTTTGGCAGCCCTCCTAACAGGAGAGGTCAGTTGATCTGCGTCCACCCCCAAGCCCCCTACCACAGCTCTGGTGAGGGGGAACAGATGGGATGAGGTCAGGACGCAGGAGTGTGCAAGGGGGTAGCTCTCACCGGGTGGGGGCACAGGAGCAGGAGTATTTGGCTGGGTATCGCCTGGTGTTGAAGGAGTTGGAGTTTTGGGAGATGGTGAGCTTGGCTGTGAAAGCTTCTTGTTCTCCTCTATCTCTGCCAGTTCTGGCATGCTCCAGCGTCCATTCACATGCTCAAATTCCTGCACCTACATGAGAACGAGAACAAGACTATCATTGCAAGAAAGAGACTATTTATGATGGAATGACCAGCTAGATAGATAAGGGGAGAGCTGTGGATGTCGTCTATCTTGACTTCAGCAAGGTTTTTGACATCGTC